GATATTTTGGCTGTTAGTATATATTATATATGTGTGTTTCGTTTGAATTTAATCGAAATAACATGCATGAATTTTTTTTTAAAAAAAAAAAATCATAATGATTTAAATAATAGAGAATAAAACAACTTAGGCATACGAACAGAACTCAAGCACAAATAATTGGTCCTGTGGAAGAAGATCCAGAGTATGAACTTATAGTTCAAGCTAATAATATAACCGTTGATATTGATAATGAAATATTAGTCGTACATAAGGTATAAAAATTTTAATTTTTTTTGGTGGGAAAAATAAATAACATTTAACAATAACAAATAATATTTTTTTGTTATACATAGTTTATAAGAGATCATTATGCAAAAAAATTTCCCGAATTGGAATCATTAGTTCTTAATCCTTATGATTACACTAGAGCAGTTAAAGCTATTGGAAATGAAATGGTTAGTATTTATTAATTTTTATATTAATTAATTAATACGTATATATGTATGCGTTACATTCGTAGGATTATTCTATATCGTTTTTTTTTAAAAAAATAGACAAAAACATTTACCAAACATCAACAACACCATCATTGGTCCAATTTGCATTATTTTATAGGATTTGACTAAAATAGATCTGAGATCGATTCTTCCATCTGCTACTGTCATGGTAGTAACTGTTACCGGATCAACAACTAATGGTCAACAATTAACAGAAGAAGAGAATACAATCGTGAGTGATGCATGTGATATGGTATTGGAATTGGATTCTGCTAAACGAGAGGTTTGTAATTAATTAGATATGCGCTTACTTGTTTATTTGTTTATTTACATTTTTATATTTATTTTAGAATGATGGATTATTTAAAGTTATATAAATTCATAAATAAATAAACGTATTTATATTATTATTTATTGTAAAGATATTAGAATATGTTGATTCTCGTATGACACTTATTGCTCCCAATCTATCAGCGATTGTTGGAAGCACGACTGCAGCCAAAATATTAGGACAAGCTGGTGGATTAACGGCTCTTTGTAAAATGCCGGCTTGTAATGTAATGCTTATTGGTACACAAAAAAAGTTGAACACCGGATTTTCAAATGTGACAGCACCTAGACATACGGGATATTTATACCAATCAGAATTGATTCAGAGAACGCCGACTGATTTAAGAACTAAAGCTCAAAAGATTGTTGCTGCAAAGTAAGAAGTAACTTGCTTGTTCTTGATTATCAAATTGATGATCGTTCATTTGGCATTTTAAGAAACTCTTATTTTTAATATGTGATTTTAGATGTACTTTGGCAGCAAGAATGGACCGAATGCATGAATCATCAGATGGTATGCCTTTAAAAAAAACTCTTTAAATTTTTATTAATTTAATAATAATAACTCATTAGATACTTATTTACTAATTATTTATCAATTACCATCATTCATCATACTGATGTGAAAGTCTACAAAATTTCAACAACAAGAATTAGCATTAATATTAGAACGTTCCCAAAATTCTAAATTATTAACAGAATTAGATTATTTGAAATCTAAACAAGTTCCAAAATTAGAATTACAAATTCAAGAACTTACTGCTAAAATTGGTTCAATTCAAGTTGAAAAGGATAATCTGTTCAAAGAGACTAAAGAGAAATATGATGAAGCAATGAAAAAACTATCTGAAGAATTCGAGAAAAGATTAAAATATGAGCAAGATTTAAGGCTATTCAAAGAACAGCAACAAGATGGTAATAAAAAAAGAATTAAATTTGATACAATTAGAAGAAATAATATTTCACAGACTTCATTTAAATCAATCGGTGAACCTAATTCAGACAATTATAATAATTGTGATGATAATAATAATAATAATGGTAACAATGATAGTAGTAATAATTTAATATATTCACCTTTATCACCAATATTATGTAGCCCAAGCTCAAGTACCAGAACAAGTATTGATGGTATAAGTATTAATGGTCTACTTGGTATTTTCGGTAATAATAATAATAATAATAGTAATAGTAATAATAGCAGCAGTAGCAGCAGTAATATTTTGTTGATTGACAAGTTGAATTTATCCGTCAAGTATTTAGAAAGTCAAGTCAACACATTACAATCTCAATTAAATATTGCTACTAGGAATAGAGGTCTGTAATTATTTGGCGAAATTATTATCATTGATGATTATTTCATTAACCAACAAATTTATTATTATCATTATTTAGATGAATTGGCAAATGAATTGGTAAAATTGACTGTTCAATTAGAAGAAATGTATGTATAAAATAAATTTTTATGATGAAATATTTATACATGCATACATATATGTATCTCATACATATATCGATTTTAGGACAATTAAAAGTGAAAGATTAACAGAAGTAGAAGATCAATTCTTCAAATTGAATGAAAGGTACTTGAATTTTTTACTGTGATTAATAATCAATCAATATATTTATTTATTTATTCTTTCTTTGTTTATTGCTTTAGTTATAATGCTGCTTTAGAAATGTTGGGAGAGAAAACAGAAAAGGTAGAAGAGCTGCAAGATATTATTGATGATATGAGAGATGTTTATAAAAATCAAATCACAGAATTAGCATCCGAAGTAGAAAAATATACAAATAAATCAAATGAACAGATTAATAATTAATTATTATTATTTAATTCTTTGCAATTTTTATTTATATATCTTTAGATATATATTTAACTTAGTTGTACTATTACTATGTATATATAATTTGAATTTTTTTTTTTTAATCAAGACTCTTAAATCACATAATAATGCGCAAACGGCGGCATATTAATTACATAATGTTACACTTGCATCAATACCAAGAAATTTATTTTTAAGTTGAAACATAACTTTTTATTTATAGAAATAATAACACAAATAAGTTCTTGTATATACAACACGATCTATTGTTTTATTATTTTGTTTTAATAAATATAACTTGATAACTTTTTTTACATTTTCCAAAATTTGAAAAATGCCGCTTAAAACTCCATACAAAGTTTCGTCAAGATTCTCGGTTCATAATAATAAAACTGAAGCAAGAGAAGCAGAAGAATCAATATTTATAGATATGACCTTGAAAAGTCGAGGTCATTTATCGACGATTGATGGTAGTGGAAGTTTTGATAAAAGAATTATAATTTTGTTAATTCTTTCACCACTTTGGACTTTGATTTTTACAATGATCCGTGTCGTCGCGGATTTTCATGGAATAGTAGCCCACATATACAGTAAATATCGCGTAATTATTATATAATTTCTGATATTAATATTTCAATTAAAATTTATATTGTTATAATATAATTTTTATCAAGGATTTGTTGAGCCAGTTGTAGGATTACCTTTAAGTTATTTTATAATTTCTTCTTCAAGGTTATTTAATGACGATGAGTTTGGGAGTCAAAATTTTTGTAAATATTGCAATTTTTTTCTTTTACATGAAGATGATGAATGATAAATTAGATAATTGAATTTTATTTGGTTTTTTGATGTAACAGTTTTGAAATTATCTGAAAAAAATTTTTTGATGTTAATATTTATGATCGGAGCTGCAATTTATGCTCAAGGTATGCATGAATATATATATTGTAAATCACATTACAAAGATCACAAATATGATAATAATGAAGAAGATATTTACATTAGGTGCCGGTAT